CCCCTCCCTACCCCCGCTCCCTTTTTAAAATAAAAAGAAAAATTTTTTTTTTTTTTCTTCCAAGGGAGAGGATTTTTGTGTATTTTACCTGTAAAATCCCGGATTTTCTCTCTTATCCTCCCTCCCTCGTTTCCGTTAAATTTTTTTATTCCTTTTCTTTCCCCCCCTCTCCTCTCTCTCCTCCTCCCATTTAATTTCCTTCTTTTATTATTATTATTATCACACGTCAAATATTAATTATGTTTTTGATGTTATAATAAATGACGAAATATACAAATATATAAGAAAAAAAAAAAAAGCATAAATTCATTTCAACCCCACGCACTACGTCACAATACTATCATTATTATCATCATCGAATGAAAAAAAGGGGGAGGGAAGGGGAGGAAAGGGGGAGGAAATAAATATATTTTGAACTTGTAAATTATTTTATTATTCATTTGAATTTTTTTTTTTTTTTTTGTTTTTTTCCCGACGCACAAAACGTGAGCTTACTTTTAATATATATATAAAGAGGACCTTACCCAAAACAATATTTGCTTTTTATATAAAATTTTCACTTTACTTTAAAGTAATTTTCTATTTTTTTTTTTTCAATGTATTTTACCTCAGGGAAAAAACTACCCTTGAGTCCGATCAATGAAAGAAAAAAAGAGAAAGGAAAAAAATTTTTTTATACAGAAAAAAAAAAAAAAAAGAAAGAGGGAAGAAGGTAAGAAAAAGGAGAGGAAACGGGAATAAAAACAATATTTTTTTTTTTAAGGCAGACATTTTTTTTTTTTTTTTTTTTTTTGCGATGAAAAAAAAAAAATGTTGGATTTGTAAGGTAATTTAATTTCCCCCCCTTTTTCCCTCTCCCCTCCCCTTCCCCTACCTACCCTGTGTTTTGTTTTATTATTATTATTATTATTATTATTTTTGTTTAAATGTTAAAAAAAAATTAACGGTTAAGATGAAAGGAAAAAAAAATTTTTTTTTTTTAATAAGTTTTTATTTAAATTTATTACAAATTAAAAAAAAAGAAATGCGGTGTGGGGTGGGGTGGTAAAGGGGGTAAAGGTAAAACTTTAAAGAAAATTTTAATTATTATTATTATTATTTAAATATTTATTATAAAAACAAACGGAAAACTAATAAAATAAACATAAATTTATTTATTTAAAAACGATTTCGATTAAATTGAAAAAAAAAAAGGAAAAATAAATAAATATCGTTTAATTTTTTTTTTTTTTTCTTTTTTTTGTTTCAGAGAAATGAATTCAAAAACAAATGGAATTGTTAATGGCGGAACAACAGATATTATCGAACAACCGGATCCCGATTATATAAAAATGTTTGTCGGACAAATACCCAGATCAATGGATGAAGAACAATTAAGGGTTATGTTCGAAGAATATGGAAGGGTGCATCAAATAAATGTTCTTAGAGATAAAGTTACTGGACAGAGTAAAGGTAATAAATATAATAATAATAATAATAATAACGATTGGGGCGTTAACAAACAAACAAACGAAAAAGAAAAGTATAAAAACCGTTATCATATCGATTAGTGTGTGATAAAAAAAAAACGACGACTTAAAATTTTTCCTTTTTTGTTTTTTGTTTTTTGAATGATTGAAAGTTTTTTTTTTTTTTTTTAATAATATGACACGAAAGAAAAATAAAAATGAGAGAAAGAGAAAGAGAGAGAAAGAGAGATAGAGAGAGAGAAATGAAAATGAATGAACCGTATCAAACGCTATAAGTTTTTTTTTTTTTTGTATTTGAGTTTCTCATAAATTAAATTTATTTGTAAACTGTCAAAAGTTTATAAAAACTTTTTTTTTTTTTTTTACCAGAGATAATAATTTTTAGGCATAAAATAATGTTTTTAAAATTATAATATTAACTATTTAAATCAAATTCTATTTTATTACGTGTAATAATAAAATAATAATTATTATTATTACCTAATAGTAATAAATTGAAAAAAGAAAAAAAAGGGGGAGGTAATTTTTTCATCTTTTTTTTTATTATTATCATCGTCTGTATAAGAGAAATACATT